GTCTCCATGATCAACTGCTCCATGCAAACTGGCACCAGCCAGTAATCCTCTCCAACTCCACCTAGACCACAGTCAGCTGCGGCACGAACTCCGAGGGCCTGTTCATGGTCAGCACCTTGAGAGTGAAAACGTGAAGCAGGCGCAGGTGTCTCCTCTGGCTCTGGCCGGGAAGGCAAGACAAAGGGACCGAAATGCGGCGTGGACGTCGGCATCAAGCAGTGGAGTTTCGATGGCGCCACCACCAAGGCGGCCAGTGCATCCTTGGGCTCCAGGTGGGCACCAATAGTGTGCCAGCCAGTCAGGCATGACAGCATATGGCATGCGAAGACAACTGTTGGTGACCCAAGAACCATATCCTGCCACCCAGGGGCCAGTCATCATGAGCCTGCAAATGGGTACCAACAAGTGTGCCAGCAAGGAGGGCAGGACAGCTCCTAGGACCCAGCGGCACTTTTTTTTCTTTCTTTCTTTCTTTTTTTTTTTTTTTTTTTTTTAATATATTTTATTGATTTTTAACAGAGAGAAAGGGAGAGAGATAGAGAGCTAGAAACATCGATGAGAGAGAAACATCGACCAGCTGCCTCTTGCATACCCCCTACCGGGGATGTGCCCGCAACCAGTGTACATGCCCTCGACCGGAATCGAGCCTGGGACCCTTCAGTCCGCACTGAGCCACACCGGCTTCGGCCCCAGCGGCACTTCTATGACACTAACCTGGGGACTGACAGTTGTGACAACTGCGCCTGTCTCTGCAGATGGGCTGCCCACAGGGAGCCAACCAGAAGAGCCAGGTCTATGACCCCAAGTGCTTACCTCAAGGCGGACAGAGCTCCGGGGTCAGCCGGCTACTGCCCAAGCCCAGGGAAGGCCCTGGAATACCCCCCTGCAGGCTACTGAGGCCCCCCCACCCTTGTGGGGTGTCTCCCCACATCATTGCCCATCTGGATTTGGGGGTTTTCTGTGTTTTCATCTTGTTTCTTCATGCGTTCAAGTGCTTCCAGCTGAGGGTCTGTGAAGGCCAGCTCCAGGCATGTGGGCACTCACTGCCAGGGCACAGCCAGGCAGCAAACTCCCCAGCAGGCTTTGGTGAAGCTGTTGGGGGAAGAGGCCCGTGAAGCTGTTGGGGGAAGTGGCTCCAAGCTTTCAGTTGCTTGGTCCTCTTTCCTTTTCTCGGCTATCAGTTTGTGGTTTCGGTACCCACAGAAATTTCAGGCAATTTTAACCAAAGTACAGTGGAACCTCATTTCCCTAACTTGATTCTGCTCAAAAACAGAATAATTTTTTTCCCGTTAGAAATAATGTAAATTGAATGAATCTGCTCCAGGCCCCCAAATTATTCCCTCTTTCAACCTTTCAAATATACAGTACATGCCTATTGTACGGTTTAATCTATAAAAAACACTTTAAAAACAAAAGGACATGGAGTGAAAATTTAACAAAAAGGAAAGGAAATGTTCAGTAAAATGCAAAAACTTAACAATAATCATAAGCAGCAGCAAAAAGCAAAAACACAGGAAAATATTCCCAGCACAGTATCCTGAGATGTTTAGCACTGGTAAATGGACTCCTGTTGGCAGTTCTCTCCTGAGCGATGCGTGACTGATCACACGGCATCAGCACGACAGGGCTGTCAGGTTGAGAAGCAAATTGCTCAAGGTGGGAGCCGTTGGAGAAACGAGGTTCCACCGTGATTGGGGTGAGGGATGGGGGGTATTAGTCAGCACTCCTATTATCTACTGCTGCCTAACAAGGTTCTAGAGTCAGGTTCAAGTGCAAATCACAGCTGCCACTCACAGCCCATGACTTAATGACTTCAATAAGCAGCCATTCTATTACATTATATCTGCAGGTCAGGGGTGTGGGGTGGGGTCAGCTGGCTTCTGTTCCGGTCCCACGTGGCTTTGCTAATGTGTCTGGTCTCTTGGGGGCGGCAGGAAGGCTGTGCTCAGCTGGGCAGTCCAGGGAGGGACTGTATGTGGGTTCTGCAGTGGGGACTTCTTACCTTGCCACTCAGGGTTCCAGAGAGAATGTTCCAGAGGTCCCAGTGGCAGCAGCAAGACTTCTAATGACTTAGACTCAAAGTCCAGATGTGTCAGGTTCCCCACAGTCCACCAGGCAAACAAGTTCCTCTTCCAGCCCAGTTGCAAAAGGAGAAAAATTAGACTCCATCTCACCGTGGAAAGAAGAGCAAAGAACGCGTGTCATCTTTATTTTTTAAAATATATTTTTATTGATTTTTTACAGAGAGGAAGAGAGAAAGATAGAGAGTTAGAAACATCGATGAGAGAGAAACATCGATCAGCTGCCTCTTGCACTCCCCCTCTGGGGATGTGCCAGCAACTAAGGTACATGCCCTTGACCGGAATCGAACCTGGGATCCTTCAGTCCGTAGGCCGACGCTCTATCCACTGAGCCAAACCAGTTTCGGCAACATGTCACCTTTAATGGGCCAGCAAATCATCCAGGTTGGCCAGTGTGTGAGGACTGCGCTGAAAAGTGACTGATGTTGGAGAGGAACTTACATGTCCTGGCAGGGGCTGGGGAGACAGCAATAAGGTAGAGTGAAGGTTCTAGAGTCAGGTTCCAGTGTGAATCCCAGCTGCCACTCACAGCCCATGTGCCAAGCAGGCTGCTCTTTTCTCAGAGCCTCGGTGTTCTCTCCTGTAAGAGGAGACCACTTCCTACTTCACGATCTTGCTGTAAAGATGAAATGGGATGGTGCTAATAAAGCGCTTCTCAGAGTACCTGCTCCAGGTACCCCTCATTGAATAGAGCCGTTATGGTTTACCCTGAGCGGCACAGAGAGCCAGGAAAGGGTCTTAGCAAAAACACTCTGGTTTCCACAAGGTCTAGGAAGGATCGGTTTACAGCCACCGAGGGAAGGCCTATCTTCCCTAACCAAGGACACAATAATAAATGGCTTGCACTTCTCCCCCAGCAGAGGCTAAATAGCTCAAATCAGCCTACTCAGGGAGCTAGATAACAGAAATCCAATAAGTGCCATTAGTGCCAGCCACACCCAAGGACAGATGAAGTTAAGAGAATAAATCTCATTTTGGCATGTGGGCATAAGGCTGACGAATATTCTGTTAGAAATCCTCCCCTAAGTTCTCCTCTAAAATCCCCGTCTTTAGAAAACAGGTAAGACAAAGACCCAGCGAGGGCTCTCTCCGGAGCACGCTATGTCTTTTTTGCAGGCATGCATCTTTCCTTCTCTCTCCTAAACTCTGAGGGTCCCCAGGAGACTTGCAGTCAGAGGAGCAAAGGGCAGTGGCAGCTCGTCCCGGGCTGAACCCTGGTCCCTGAACCAATCTCCAAGGCCCCCTTCTCTCTGACTTTTCAGTGAGCCAGAGAGCAGCCTGCCTTGACTCACTTCTTTCCTATAACGCTTCTGGGGCCAAAGCAGAGCACCCCTCGGATCTCTCCTGTTGTTCTTCTACCCCAGGCCCTTCCTTTGTTTCCCTGTCCCCTCAAAATCACCTGGACTCCTGTCGTGAAGTGTTTCCCACATGAAGCCAAGAACCCACACGTGTCCGGGGCAGACCGACTCTGGCGGTCCTATTCCCGTGACTCAGCAGCCCAGGCCTAACGTGCAATGAGCACACCAGCTTTGGGAATCGTGTTAAAAAAGAGATTCCAGCTCAGTAGGTCTGGGGAGGGTGCGAGAGTCAGCAGGTACAGTCAGCTCCCAGGTGACATCGATGCTGATGACTCCCGGCCACACTTTGAGAGTATTGTTTCCAAATAAAAGTTTGATCATGTCTTGCCTCCGCTTAAAACCCTCCACAGCACTCAGGGGAAAGCCCTCGCCATGTCCCATAGTGACCTGTGGGCTCAGGTTCCAGCCTCCAGGCCTTTCTCTCTCACCGGGTTGTCTAGCCGCTTGTCCACTCTCCTGTCCTCTCTATTCTCCTTATTGTTATCGGCTTATTTATAATACTAGAGGCTTGGTGCACGAATTCATGCACTGGTGCGGTCTGGCCAGCCCCACCCCAATGGGGGCCTATTGGGGCAGGGCCGGCTTTGGGGGGGAGCCACAGGAGGTTGGGGCAGGTTGGTCACTGCAGTGTGCATCATAGCCACCCTTGATCTAAAACATTTCCTCCCAAATGCATGTGTCTAAACATGCATATTTTGGGGGTTTTGCTTTTATTATACAGTCTACGAGTTACCTCATGGCCCATGTAGTTTTGTGCTTCTTTTTCACTCCACACTGTTTCTCAGATCGCTGTGGTGCTGTTTGCAGCTGAAGTTCATTCGATTTCACTGCTGTATACTATTCCATGGCAAGAGAGACCAGAGGTATCTGCCCACTCGCTGTGGGTGGGCCTTGGGGTGTGTCCAGTGTTGTTCTTATTATGGGGGACACAGTGTGAACCTTCTCGGGCTTCCCTCTTCCACTCCAACTCCCTTCACCAGGCACACTCCCTCAGGTGCTCAGACAAGCCTTCCCCGACCTGCAGGCCGCGGTGGTCCCCATTACAGCTCCCTAATTACATACACACTTGTGCTATTACGTAATGAGCGTGGGTCTAGCCCGGGTAGAGAGCCAGCCCCACAAGGTTTGCGATGCTCACTGGCTCCCAGACTCCACCTGGGCCTGGCCCTCTGTAAGCACCCAGGCAGCAGAGCCGGGCCTGGAGGCTGGAGCCTGAGCCCACAGGTGGCTGCAACCCCAAGTCCCAGGGCCAAGGCGCTGAGGGGCCTCGTGTTTGTCCCCATCGCTGGGCCTGAACTCCAGGAAAAGCACAGCTGGGGACGGCGGGGCGGGGAGGGGCGGGGCCTTGACGGCCAGGGGCGGGGCCTTAGAGGACTGGGGCGGGTAGGGGGCGGGACCTGGTCGGCAGGGGGCGGGGCGGAGCCGGGCCCCGTTAAGAAGGGCGAGGCGGGCGGCCCTTGCTTCGGAGCCCGGGGGAAACGAACCGGCCTCCTGTTCAGCCCTCGACCGCACCGCGGGACCCAGCGGAGGAAGCAGCGGCGCGGGGCGCACGCTTGGCACCATGACCCAGACACCCTCCTTCGACAAGCCCAAAGTGAGCTCGGGCGGGGGCTCGGGTCCAGGCTCTGGCTCCTTGCCTGGCTGGAGGGCTCAGCCTTAGGGGCTTCCGCGGAGCGGGATCAGCGGGGCCCCTGCGGGTGCCTCTCCCCTCCGCTCGGCCCTCCTCCACCTCTAGGCTGGTTAGTGAGAGACAATGAGGAAGTGAGGGTCCTGAGTCTGGAGGCGTCCCGGGCTGGCGGCCTCCGAGTTCTGCTTCTGCCGCTGACTCGCCTCCTTTGGGCCTCAGTTTTACCATCTGTCAAATGGGCGCTGTCTTGGGACCTCATCCGTAAGATGGGGCTTGGGGCGCGGTGTCTGCAGCCACAGGTGGTGTTGGGTATGGTGCTCTGTGAGTGTAAACAGCTTCCTACTCTAACACTGATGGTCTTGTCGTCTATGGCTGTATCACGGGAAGAACTGAGCCATACCAGAGACGGGGGCAGGGGGTTTGGGAGGGCCTTAGGCTCTGGGCTCTGGTAAGATTCGAGAGCCACCGATAACCTTCTTCTCCCGCTTTCCCCACCAGCTGTGGTGTCTTGGGAGGGAATGGTGGGGTCAGGGGAGTCCAGACCCACTTGGTGGGCTTCAGAGCATTGAGATTCACCAGGGAGGGGAGCGGCCCCGAAGTCTGCCCAGTGGGGTCAGTCAGCAGCTCGTGGGATCTGAGACTGCGGGGTCCCGGTGGTGCGAGTTTCAGTCTGCTTCACGCACCCATCTGAGAACAGGTGTATGTGATGATGGCAGATGTCACAGAAGTCTGGGTAAGAATCCCGTGTGTGTGCACAGAGGAGAGGGGAAGGAAGAGGGCACTTGGAGGAAGCAAAGCCTAGCACCCCCACCTCCCCACCCCCACTGCCCATGCCCTAACCGCAGGGCAGATGCTCAGCTACATCCTCCCAGGTGTTTCAAGTTCTGGGGAATCACTTCTGCTCCCCCCCCCCCCATGCCCCCTTCGCACCTTGCATGAATGCCCATGCTCCATCCTTAGCGGTTCTTCCTTTGAAGGCTGTTTTTTGTTCGTTTATTATCTTGCCTTAACTGTTCTTGGATTCCCTCTATGTTTGGTCTGGGAACCACCTTGTCTGAAATGAACTCCAATGCAGTAGGCAAACCCCCTAATGGGGAGTGAGGTGGGAGTTATGGAGAGAAATAAAAGGTAGCGCTGCTATGGATCTTTGCTGTATGCGCCAATCTGATCCTTGCAACACTTTTAACAACTCCGTGATGGAGCAACGATTGCTATTCCCATTTTTTGCCCAGCCCAATCCTCTTCTCTGATTCAAGCTGGCAGGTCCTTTCCCCTCGCTGGGCCTCAGTTTCCACACCTGGAAGTGGGCCCCACCTGCTCGTAGAGGCATCCAGAGGTCACCTTCTGTGTGGGCGAGGTGTGGTGCACGTTTATCCTCAGAGGAGGGAGCGTGCCTGAGCGGGCAGGGAAGCAGAAGGAGCAGGAGTCTCAGCCGCTTCACGCTGGGTGGGGCAGGTGCTGAACTCCAGGTAATAGCAACCGGTGCTTCAATGGAGATGATTTTTGCCGTGCCGGGCCCCTTGCTGAGCATGCTACCTGCACTAATCCACCTGGTTCTTACCTGTGACTCTGCGGCATAGCTGATGTCACTCCATTTTATAGATGGAGAGACAGGCACCAGGTTCATTGGGTTAGGAAAATCACAGTAGCCGAGCTAAGGGCTGGCCTTGCAGTCCCGGGGCCCTGGGGCCCTGACGAGCTCTCCTGAGCTGCCTATGCAGAAGCTGCTGATGGTGGAGGTGCCAGAGCCCCAGGTGCAGGCCTCTGGCTGCTCAGGCCACCTCCAGGTGAAGCCAGGCCCCGGCCAGTGTAAGCAGCCAGAGCCGAGCAGTGCTTTCCAAACGTTCAAGTGTACTCAAGTCACCTGGTGCTTGATAACATTCAGCCTGTTTACAGACGAAGAAGCAGAGGCACAGAGATGAACTAGGGAAGGCCAGTGGTCGGCAAACTCATTAGTTAACAGAGCCAAATATCAACAGTACAGGGATTGAAATTTCTTTGGAGAGCCAGATTTTTTAAACTTAAACTTCTTCTAATACCACTTCTTCAAAATAGACTCGCCCAGGCTGTGATATTTTGTGGAAGAGCCACACTCAAGGGGCCAAAGAGCCACATGTGGCTCGGAAGCCGCCGTTTGCCAACCACTGGGTTAGGCGGAGCACGGCAACCGCGCTATGGGGCTGGCTTCCCGGTCCCTCCCGTGAAGGAGTCTAGGGTGGGGGCTGAGGCACTCCCTCTGACACGCTCCCAGGTGATGCTGATCGGCTGGTCCACGGACCACACTTGAGGTAGCAAGACCCTAGCAGCTCCCTACCTGGATCGGTTATGTCATTCCAACAAGTGCCTCCTGTGCCGCTGTGGACTCTGGAGGAGGTGGGAGGAGGTGCAAAGTGGGGTGGGGGGGAGCCCTCATCTGTGTCTGCAGGGCAGGGCCAGGAAATGCCCAGGCTCTGAGAGTTCTTGGTCAGACAGGACAATATGGACCACCTGCCTGGTATTTTATTTATTTATTTATTTATTTATTTTTAGAAACACATAGATTTTTATTTTATTTTTTTAATATATTTTATTGATTTTTTACAGAGAGGAAGAGAGAGGGATAGAGAGTTAGAAACATCGATGAGAGAGAATCATCGATCAGCTGCCTCTTGCACACCCCCTACTGGGGATGTGCCCGCAACCAAGGTACATGCCCTTAGCCGGAATCGAACCCGGGACCTTTCAGTCCGCAGGCCGACGCTCTATCCACTGAGCCAAACCGGTCCCGGCCACCTGCCTGATATTTTAATAATAGTAACAGCCATTTAAGTGTGAGTTCCGGTACCTTCCATGATTTATCTCTCAGAATCTTCTGGACAACTTAACAAGGCAGATATTTTCATTCTTTTTGCTGCTTAATGCGGATTTTATTTACGAGAATTCCAGGGGAACAACACCCCAGGGGGAAAGGGGTGATGGGAAATGCTGGCCACCCCCCTGGGAGATGCCGGCCACCGCCCTGCTGTGTAGATTTTGGGGTCCCATGAACCCGTTGCGGTAAGAGGAGAAGAACATGTCTGTGAGCCAGAGCGCTGGGCGGTATCCACCCACAGGGACTCCAAGGCTGCAGAACTGGCGGTGTGTTCTGCAAGGCACAGGAGAACAGCGTCGCAGCGTCGCTTGCAAATAGTAGGAAGGCAAGGTGCCAGGCCAGGCCCAAGACTGAAGCATGCAGGAGACGAGGGAAGCCCCTCGTCAGGCCACCCACAGGCAGAACTCGGGGTGAGCGCAAATCACAGCGGCACTTGATGGTTACCATCACACCCACGGGCTGGAGCCTTCTCTGCAGCTGCTCCGTCGGCCCCGCGAGGAAGGCTCCCAGTGGATGCGGTGTTGCCGGAGGTGTAAACCGGCGAAGGGCGAGTCCCTCCTTGGCAGCCAGAGCAGGAGGGAGCAGAGAACTCCTGTAACAAGACAACGCAGAGAGCTTTCTATCCTGACATCTCAGCTTAAGGAAGGTTCCATCTCCCCCCTCCCCCGCCAACCCCGCCTCGGCCAGGCTGCCCTGGTCCTCATTGTCTGGCCCACTAAGCACCTTCTTCAGCTTGTCCATCGGGCTGCCGCCTCTTATGCTGCTCTGTCCACGGAGGCAGATGTGTGTCCCCCCCACCCCCACATTAATAGACTAGGAGGCGGGGGCCTGGGGAGGTGAGTGGCTAGCCCAAGGCTACTCATTCTGGGAGCTGAGCGAGCAGCCATGTTGGAACAGCAGTCTTTGAACCATTCCTTTTATTTTTTTTTATTTTTAAAAAAATATATTTTATTGATTTTTTACAGAGAGGAAGGGAGAGAGATAGAGAGCTAGAAACGTCGATGAGAGAGAAACACCGACCAGCTGCCTCTTGCACACTCCCCACTGGGGATGTGCCCGCAACTCTGGTACATGCCCTTGACCAGAATCGAACCTGGGACCCTTCAGTCCGCAGACTGACGCTCTATCCACTGAGTCAAACCGGTTTTGGCTGAACCGTTCCTTTTAGAGGGAGCGGAGAATTGGGGCTAAATGTCCTAGGCACTTTTTCTTTCTCTTGTTTGAATGTGGACTCCGAATCTGGCGCTGTTCTGACTTGCATATTTGTTTGTATTGACTCATTTAATGCTCACACCAGCCCTCCTGCAAGTGTCATTTACATAGGAGGAAATTGAGGCTCAGAGGGGAAAGAACTTGCCAAAGTCACACAGCCAGGAAGGGGTGGGAAGGGCTAGCTGAAACTGACGTGGGTGCTGATACCTGCCATACTCACCTGCCACCCCCACTCTGGGGGAGGAGCTAGACTTAGGGTGACCTTGGACTTCAGATCAACCTGGGTGGGATCCCTGTCTTGTGAACAGTTCCCTGAACCCCTAAAACGGGTTGATACACCAAGGTCCTGGGACTCCTGGGGGGAATTGATCTGCTGGTTGGAGTGTGTTCCTCCCTGACTGCCGTGGGGGGCGCTGTGGCCCTGGGGAGCCTCCATCTGCAGCGTCTCCCTTCTGCCACAGAGCACCCCCCCCACCCCCCACCCCGCCAGCCAGCGCCGCTCTGGGCTGTCGGTGTTTTCGGTGACCAGAGCCTCCTGTTAAATAAAGGTGCCCCTGGGAGGAGCCCGCCTGACCCTGGCTGCCTATGGCAGCCGGACGCAGGGGAGCAGAGATTGGGTTTCACCGAAGTCTCTGTTTGACAGAAGAGGAAGCCAGGAGGAGGGGGGGAAGTGCGGCATCTGGTCACAGCGAGGCGAAGGAGGCCAGCAGCCTCCTGACCCCGGAGCTGACCTCAGGGGGGCCGGACCTGGGAGGACCCTATCCCCGGCTCGCTGCCCCGGGGCGTGTCCCCACAGCATGGAAGGGAGGGCAGGAGCATGGCCTGGCTTGACCAGGGGAGAAGAGTAGGCCAAAGCGAGTTCGAATCTGTATTTGCCCAGAGTGTTGGGGGCTGGCTTCCCCTC